TGAGCTAGAGCGAGACCTCATCTCTAAAAATAGCAGGGCATTGTGGCAGGTGCCTGTAGTCCCAGCTACTTGGGAGGCTGAGGCAAGGGAATCGTTTGAGCCGAAGAGTTAGAGGTTGCTATAAGCTATGACACCAGGGCACTCTAGTAGAGGCAACAAAGTCAAACTCTGTCTCACACACACACAAAAAAAATAGTGATGGAGTTTCACAACTTCTTTCCAAAGGATTGGTATGTGTCTTTGTTGAAATCTTGTCACTTCCTCATTTCTATGATTTCCCTCCCTTGTGGCCTGAACATATGACTTTTAAAGAGTCAGGAGAGGGGGTAAGTCATAACTTTTTGTTTTTGAACATCTGAAGAATGAATTTAGAAACAAGTTACATGGATCTTGAATTCCCCCACACATACACACCCCAACCTTCAGCTTATTTTTCCTTTCGTGTTTTAGGTCTGCAGGGACTGTTGTGGGATTTGTATCTTGACACTGGCGACCAACACTCTTTGTGTGTGGGTCATGTGTCACTGTCACTGGAGAGAATTTATGCTTTGGCTTCAGTTCAGGGTTTTTTTTAATGGCTTTTCCACCAGGTATCTTGGAGCTCGTGGTTGCTTCTTGGTATCTTCTGTTGCCCTGTGGGACACACGGGTGGCTCACTGGGCCCTCCGGGGCTTTGGAGGCAGTGCCTTCTGATGCAGGACACTGATTTGATGAATCACAGTGGCCTCCGCCTTCTGAATTTTCTGACAGCCTTGTGACTCTCACATGGGGAATATGAGTAGCTCTTGAGAAATCTTTACATAAGAGATTTTTATATTTTCTTTTCAGATTGATTCAGTGATTTTCCTTAAAGTTAGCACATTCCTTGCTTTCTTCTTAAATTCTCAAGGACAAGGTGTTCATTACTGCTCCTTTCTCTTAAATGGGGTGATTGGTGTTTACGGTTTTGTTCTTCATATTACTCATGATGTACTGCTACCAATTAACCTAAATACAGTAGAACCTCCACAGCTGGCCACCTCCTTAAGTCGACGTAATTTTCAGAGACCATGTACCACATGTACGTGTCAGTACGTATCAGTGGGCCTAGTTCCTTATATTGACCCCCATGTATGTTGACCAGTTAGTTACAGACCTTCAGGTAGTCAACTTACACAGGTGTTACTGTATGTGGAAATACTCTTTCATTGTGTAGATGGAGCTTTTATAGTTCTTGTGCAGTTGAGCAAAACTGGTGCTTTCATAATTGCTAAGTCACATGGTTTTTCTCCCCTCTACACTGTGATTCTTAGTGTTTCTTTCTTTCTTACTTTCTTTTCTTTCTTTTTTTTTTTTTTTTTAGATAGAGGCTCTCTGTTGCCCTTGGTAGAGTGCTGTGGCATTGCAGCTTACAGCAACCTCAAAATCTTGGGCTCAAGCAATCCTCTTGCTTCCCTAGTAGCTGGAACTACAAGCTACTTTTTTAGAGATGGATTCTCGTGCTTGCTCAGGCTGGTCTTGAACTCCTGAGCTCAAGCACCATCCCCCGCCCCAACCTCCTAGAGTGCTGGGATTACAGGCATGAGCCACTGTACCAGGCCCTGAGTGTTTCTTATGCAGAACTATAGCTTGTTATCAACAAACAAACAAGCAGGAAATAGAAATTATATAAGTAATTTCCATTATCTGTTTCACTGACTTGATAAATAGGTATCTGGTCTATTTTAATTATTTTTCATAGTGTTAAACTAAGAAGTGCCTGTTGCTGTTTCTTCATTTTGCAGGTCTCATTGGAGGGGATCTGTGATTATACTTGAGTGGGTGATTTTTGTTGTTGAAATTTGTTTTGCTGTTGAGACCCTGGTGACATGGAGTTTTGTGCTGACTTTCTGTAGGTGTTTTCACAATCCTGTGTTTGGTATGGAGAATGTGGAATTGCATCTGGGGATAAAAGGTACAATTGCAAATATTCTGGACCACCAAAACCATTGCCGAAGGATGG